TGTTTTCCATAAAGGTTTTTGGTGATTTTAACCCTGCAATAACATAAATAGGGTATCTCACTAGACCTTTCGGTCTAACCCTCGTTTTGTGATTTTAACTATGTGTTGCAGGAGGTACGGACAGTAAGGGAAAGGGGAAGATTTAATATTTTCCTATATGCATTTCTGCTTGAAGATCTGTTTTGATGTACAGTTTTGATTGATTAGTACAAGTGATGCATTTGAATTTTTGGACCTTGTATTTGGTCATGTTAGATTCTTGTACTAAGGGACCTGAATGGAATAATATGTATTTCTTTTGTATAAAATATGTGTTACATGCAATGTGTGGGTTGGGGCTTTACACTGTGAGCGATTTAGCTAATCTGGCTGACTATCCGGTCACAACCTTCAATCGATTTAACACTTATCCGGTTAAGCCTCAATCGATTTACCAACTTGGGCGATTTATAGCCTGTGAGGTTGAGCGATTTAAGCTTGAGAGGAACGAAAATAGTTCTATGATTTAGCATTATACGATGAAGAAGAACAAGAATGGATTGTGCAAATGAACATATGAAGGACAAACAGGCTTAGTCCCAATCCGGATAGGCCTTTAAAAAGAATTGGGCTGAGCGATTTATCTAATACAAACACAAAAACCAACAAAAAAATTAACCACAATGGATCAAAAAAAAATTAACCACAATGGATCAAAAAAAAATTAACCACTTTTTAAAAAAATTAAGAACACAAAAAAAATTAAAAACACAAAAATTCACTAAATCTAGAAAAACAAAGATCAAAACGCAAAAGTTTGTGAATAACGAAGATTCACAATTTGATTTCACACAGATTGATCCCAAATTTAACACAAAACCACGAAATTAAAAAAAAAATTGGATCAAAATCAAAGAAAAAAAGAAGAACATAATTAAGAACACAGAAAATTTAAAAAAATATCATCAGATTCGTTGATTTCTTCTGTTGATTTCGTGCATATACTGCTCTGATACCAATTGTAGATCCCTACTAATCAATCTTCAAGAAAGCTCCAATTCATCAATGGTAGAATCTCAGATCTAGCATTAAGAATACAAAGATAGTTGAGAGAGAAAATCAATATTCAAAGTATTGGTCAAACCTTTCTTACGTAAATGAATATTGCAATTGAGAATCCTACCAAGATACAAAGACCTCACCCTATTTATAGGGCCTAACAAACTAAACAAGGTCAAAGTCAAACAGTCTAAGAAAAGTCAAACACGATGACTATTATACAATTATAGAAAAAATCAACTTTCAAGACAAATACAATTTACACTGATTTTCAATCCTAGCAAAAAACTTTTCATATTCTTAAGTAAGTTGTTTTTGAATATATTAAACTTTTTGTTTAAAAGAAAATGGAAAATGAAACGTTTTATGACGTCATTTTTATTTAAACGATACGAATTCTTTTTAGACGTGCGTACCGTTCTGACACACGCGACCCCTCAAAATTCCATCCAATCGTGGATGAGAGCGTGCTACTTTCTTCATCATTGCACAACTTTTAAGTCGTATTTGCCTCTCTCCTATTTCCATTTCTCTCTCTTTCTACCTATAAATATGAGACTTCTCCTCTTATTTTTGCCTTACGCTTTCAAATACTTTTGTTGAACCCCTGCCTCAAAATCATTTGCAAGCAATCACTAAATAACTCTCAAACCCTTCAACCTTCTTCTTCTTCTACGTCTCACAGGTTGATAACTCTTCTACCTGTTTGATATGTTTTTCTTCTAAGAAACTAATGTTAGCTTACTTAAGATCTTGTTCTCTTGTTCTCAAAGCTTAGACTAAATCGCTCATTAAGTCTACAATCGATTTAATGCCTTGTGCAATGAACTTCTCGTCAATTTAGGTTTCAATAGAGATCTGATCACTGTGAACGATTTAGCTAATCCGGCTGACTATCCGGTCACAACCTTCAATCGATTTAACACTTATCCGGTTAAGCCTCAATCGATTTACCAACTTGTGTGATTTATAGCCTGTGAGGTTGAGCGATTTAAGCTTGAGAGGAACGAAAATAGTTCTGCGATTTAGCCTTATACAATGAAGAAGAACAGGAATGGACTGTGCAAATGAAGATATGAAGGACAAACAGGCTTAGTCCCAATCCGGATGGGCCTTTAAAAAGAATTGGGCTGAGCGATTTATCTAATACAAACACAAAAACCAACAAAAAAATTAACCACAATGGATCAAAAAAAAATACTGGATTTAAAAAAATTAAGAACACAAAAAAAATTGAAAACACAAAAATTCACTAAATCTAGAAAAACAAAGATCAAAACGCAAAAGTTTGTGAATAACAAAGATTCACAATTTGATTTCCCACAAATTGATCCCAAATTTAACACAAAAACACGAAATTTAAAAAAAAAATTGGATCAAAATCAAAGAAAAAAAGAACAAGATGAACACAATTAAGAACACAGAAAATTTTTAAAAAAAATTCATCAGATTCGTTGATTTCTTCTGTTGATTTCGTGCACACACTACTCTGATACCAATTGTAGATCCCTACTAATCAATCTTCAAGAAAGCTCCAATTCATCAATGGCAGAATCTCATATCTAGCATTAAGAACACAATGATAGTTGAGAGAGAAAGTCAATATTCAAAGTCTTGGTCAAACCTTTCTTATGTAAATGAATATTGCAATTGAGAATCCTACCTAGATTACATAGACCTCACCCTATTTATAGGGTCAAACAAACTAAACAAGGTCAAAGTCAAACAGTCTAATAAAAGTCAAACACGATCACTATTATACAATTATAGACAAAATTAACTTTCAAGACGAATACAATTTACACTGATTTTCAATCCTAGCAAAAAACTTTTCATATTCTTAAGTATGTTGTTTTTGAATATATTAAACTTTTTGTTTAAAAGAAAATGGAAAATGAAACGTTTTATGACGTCATTTTTATTTAAACGATACAAATTCTTTTTAGACGTGCGTACCGTTCTGACACACGCGACCCCTCAAAATTCCATCCAATCGTGGATGAGAGCATGCTACTTTCTTCATCATTGCACAACTTTTAAGTCGTATTTGCCTCTCTCCTATTTCCATTTCTCTCTCTTTCTACCTATAAATATGAGACTTCTCCTCTCATTTTTGCCTTACGCTTTCAAATACTTTTGTTGAACCCCTGCCTCAAAATCATTTGCAAGCAATCACTAAAGAACTCTCAAACCCTTCAACCTTCTTCTTCTTCTACGTCTCACAGGTTGATAACTCTTCTGTCTGTTTGATATGTTCTTCTTCTAAGAAACTAATGTTAGCTTACTTAAGATCTTGTTCTCTTAAATGACCAACATAATGATTATTAACACATTCTCTTACTTGGTTATAATCTAAAGTTTCTATACACTAACTCCTCTTGAAAAACCCTAATATTTTCTTTGTGGATTTTTCAAAAGAAGTTTTATTGTTTCAAAACATAATTGCTCACAACTATATATTGGATTTCTAACAAGTCTGCTATTTCTTATTTCTTATTTCTTATTTCTAACATAAACGTCTTCCAAAAACGTGAACTTCTTGACTAACGATGTGTCTTTCCAGCCCAATAATCATGTGGCGCTGATAGACATTCCAGCCAACATGGTGAAGGAAGTTCTTCAGCAGTTCTGGCTTACTATTGAAGTAGTTCATGATACTGACAAGACTGGTAAACAGGTGGCGAAAATCTCCTTCACCTTTAAGAGGATGACGGTCAGTTTCGGCGTTGCCACTCTAAGGACCGCTCTCCATCTACCAAAGGGTCCTTATACCAGTGAACCTACCACTGAAGATATCATCTCCTGCTTGGATGATATTGGCTACGCCTGGCCCACAAAGAAGGATTCCAGAGATCTCCTCAAGTCACTTTAAAAAGTTGAGAAGAACTGCATGTCTGCGGTATGGCAGTTTTTGTTTTCCCATTTCATCCAATGTATGGGAGGCAAAACTGGTGGAAAAGATCAAGCATCCAAAGTTATTGAACATTGGCATCTCTATCATTCACCAACGGCCAATCAACTTTGCGGACATGATCTTTGAAGATCTGGTGCTGAAGTTGAACAAGCGCAAGAGGGAGAAGGTAGTACTTTACACCAGGTTCTTATCAATGGTGTTTACTAAGATATTTAGCAACAAGTACTCCACAGAAGGCAACCAGCCCATCTATAAGCTTGGATCTACGATCTTGGATCATAAGCTGAGAACTAACAACGTTGCACTCTTCTCCCTTGTGATTGTGCTTGCAAATACTTCTTCAGCTTCTCTAACTATGTCGGTATGTCCTTCTTCCCCTGCTCAGGTGGTCAAGACTAAGGAAAAACCCCAAAGTCTATCCCAACCACCACCACCACCCTCTCTTCTATAAAAAACCTCCTCTCAAACCAGTCTTGCTTCTGTATCGAGGGCCAAGAAAGCCAAAAAGGGGATAACCACATCTCTGGCTGCTACCTCTCAAAAGGTTCCAACTATTGAAACTAGCCTTAACCCCGAGGCACCTTCAGCTTTATCTCTTCCAATCTATTCAGTGATTTTTGCAGTCACTGTCGTACCTATGGCTCCTATTCCAACCGCATCAATGACCCAAATCACTGAAGGTGTGAATATCAGCATAGCTACTGCTGAACACTCACTTCCACCATTCTCAACCCTCTTATCCTCTCCTCCTTCTTTGGACCCGACACGTACTCATGACTCATCAATGATTGTCCTCCCTGATGATGAAGCACTCACCACAAGACCTGAGGTTGCTCTTCTCGAAACACCTCAGTCAATGGAAGTCTATACTCACAAAGGCAACCTGGAGAGAACCAACATCAATCCTTCAGATGGTGCTGATGAACCCTCATGTAATCTTCCGACCTACCCTTTCATTTCTTATAACCCCGAGCTATCTTATGCTCAACCATCTTCTTTTTCAGGTCCTTGCAATGAACGAACACCAGCCATGGAATAAGAGTATAACATGGCTGATGACGTGAAGCTGATATTCCTGACCATAGAGACTTTGTTAATCAAAAAGGATCAAGTCCATAAAGGCATGCCTCTTAGGGTTGATGTTTCCTCTGACCTCTCAGCTGTCAAAGCTGACGTCAATGATGTGAAGGAACACCTTTCTACTGTGCAAGCCATTGTACACACCAACGCTGAGGCTATCTCTGCTCTAAACAGCAAAGCCAATGAAGCGAATGCTCAGCTTCCAGGCATGGTGAGTTGTTGCCGCAGATACTAGAGCTTCTTCAATGTCCAGTACCAGTTCCTACACCCTCTTTCACAGCAATGGATCGCCTTTTGTTGGATCAGGCTCTCGAGATCGGTCTTTTTCAAGCTATATCGCATAGCGTACTTGAACAATGAGTGGACATCATAGCACTGAGTCTTGATAACCTCTTCTCTAGTCATGCTAATGACAAGGAAGGGGAGAAAGATTTGGATGTTGTTGTTGCTATTGTCCCTAGAACTGAAGTTGAAGCTGATGCTCAAAGAGCCGAAGCTAATGAAGATGAGGTTATTGATGATACCATCACTACCAATGAAGCTAATGAAGCTGAGGTTGTTGATGATACCATCAGAGTTGATGCTGAAGCTTATGACGAAGACCTTCCTATCACCCCTACAGCTGATGTTGGTGATGAAGAAGATGAAGGTGAAGATGATGACGATGAAGATGACTCTCCATCCCTTCCTGGCGCTAGAAAGGATCTTGCTGGTGATGATGATGAAGACGATGATGACGACGACTTCACGATTCAGTACCACAAACTTGCCAGCGCTTTGAAAGGAGTCTTTCTCAGGGATTCTTAATCCTAGGGGGAGAAAGAGAAAGAAAAAGAGAAGGAGACAAGTACAAAGAACCAGAACACCGCCTCAAAAGACAAAGGTGTTGGTGAAGAAGGAAATCTCAATGTTCTATTCAAACCTGTCGTGCCTCAAGATATTGAATCCTCCAGGTTTGTAATAGTCACTTCCTTTTGTCAACTCACTTCCTCTATACCTTAGACTACTTGTGGTCGATTAAATAAATGGGTACTTAACAATCCATCCTCCAGTGTTCCTAGCGACCAGCAGATGACTCAGCTTAAGGTGTCACTCGACCAAACTAGAGCAAAAATTCCTCTTCGTACCTCTAGTTGTGGTGAGTTTGACTTACTATCTGAAGCTAAAAGACTCGAAGCAATCAAGGCTGAGGAAGAACTCAGTCTTCAAAAACAACAGACTGAGGATAGCCTAAAATTGGCCTAGTCTCTTGCTGTTCAAGTTCTTCCAAAAAAATCGTCTAAAAAGATGGTGAATGTTGTCAAAGCCCAAGCTAAGTTGCTTTCAACTGTAGAAGCTGAATGTGAAAAGGCAATGAAGTTGAACGATCGAGACAGAAAATGGAGTGTAGATCGTCTGAATAAGAGAATAAGTCCTCACCACATCTCAAACATCACAATCAATGGATCAGTGAAAGATGGTGGACTTCTCATCTTCATGCTCATCACTAGAGACAACCTTGAACCTATCATAGAGTATCCTTCCTACCTTGGACAATACGGCTACTGTGAATGGCTGGAAATCCGCCAAGCCATTCAGTGCTCAAAGTCAAGGTATAAGCCAACAATTGAAGACATCCTCAGCGATTTGATCAAAAAGATGTCCAAATTTATAGTTGTACCTACTAAGCCGACATTGAAGAAAGGTGGAAGAAGAAAACCTTTAGATCCTAATGATGGACCAACACTGAGGAACGAACATGAAACAAAGTTCTCCCTGGAAGAAGTTCTAAAGGATTCGAAGAAGCCAGACATCTCTATGTTGAACCTCTCTTCGCTAGCGAAGGGTCCTTACATACCCAACATTGTGCATATAAAGCCTGAGTTTGGATTTATATTCCTTGACTACGAAGGCAAACAAGCTTTTAAAGAGTGTTTGAGTTTAATCTTCGTCCTATAGAACATCTTGATTAATTAAGATATTGGTTGGACAATTATGTTTATGGTCAAATGAAAGACCACAGGATCAGAAAAGAATTCCTACGTCGAAAGATGCTTGGAGAAGAAGTACCTTGTTACATCGAATTTAGTAACTTAGATTAGTTATAAATTTCTGTCTTGTAAATTTTATCTTTCATTATAGATCTTATTTTTCTATGTCTTTTCTTTCAGTGTACAACTTCTATGTAATAAGTCTAGAATGTACTGACTGAAACACTTGTAATTCTCCTTTGATTAATATAAGTATTTCATCAGCATATGAAAAAGATCCCTGAAAACTTATATAGTAAAAAATTGTATCACTATAAAAGATCCCAAAATAGTTAAAAGAGACATGTACTTTGTATGTAACTTTTCCTTACTATTAAACCTTAGGCAATTTTCTTTATTTTGCTTTGTCATCATCAAATAGGGGGGAGATTATTGATCCTCTCTCTCATTGATTTGATGATAATCCCTTTTACCTTTCGAAGTATTATTGTTTCTGTATTTTCTGTACCAGCAATCATCACTGAGTCTGTTCAGTGATCGTTGAAACCACATTGTAATCTTACAGCGACAGCAATAGCGATATTTCAAGAAGACAAAACTCACACCCAAGAACCTTCAGTGAATGTCGAAGACTGAAACTGAAGTTTAGTGACTGACGCATTCGTGATCTGAAGTGGTATTAAGTGATTACAACCTGGTCAACATGTGTGAAGACTACATAAGCCTCAGTGAATGCTGAAGAGACCTCCATCGTCATTCCAACATTCAGCAATCAAATGAAGCTTTCCATGCACGATTGTTTTTGTCCTGTCCTTCCATATACAAAGGACAAACCCAGACCCTTTCAAGAGTATAATACTGCACGGAGCCCACTAATCGACTCTAGTACCCACCAACTCCATGAAAAGATGTCTGCTCATGAATAGACAATAGTACTATTCACAGTCGCAAAGGACAAGCTTTCCTCTAAAAGCTTGACGTGTGTTCTAACCCTTTTCATTTGCATTTAATGCAATGGGTATAAATAGATGAGTGCTCTCCTCATGGACAACATCTATCTACAACACAAAAAAGAACACATACGCTTATCTTCAAGCAAGTTAGAATTTCTCTCAAAATTCTAAAGTTCTTACCCCAAAAGAACATCTTTCTGTCTTTATATTTTTGGAAAATTTCTTATATTTGCTAAGTATATTTGTGTGTAATCTTATATTGTTTTTAGATAGGTTATCTTTATCCTTTTTACTTCCGCAAACAATCTGTAAAAAATATATATTGATCTTTCTATATTAATATATATTTTTAAATACAAAATTTTTCTGTGTTTGTATTCATCCCCCCTCCCTCTTCTACAAATTCTTCCTCTAAACTCTTGTAGACCCGGCTGGACTAACAGAAAGTGGTGAGAGGAAACATGGATCTGATAAGAAAGTTGAAAGAAGATAGGGAAGCAAGGAAAAAGGTGAAGCCCTTAGATGCTTCAATTGTGGAAAGGTTGGACATCTTTCCAGGGAGTATAGGTTCAAGAAGTCTAGAGACTTAGACTACTACTCGAAGAAGCCGCACCTAACAAAAAAGAAGGCGCAAGGCCAAGTTCTTATGGCTGAAGAGGAGAACTAGCTTAAATGGTCTTCTTTTGTTGGACCGGTAACTGCACTAGGGAGCCGCCCCGTGATATTGTCCGCTCAGGGCTGCCCCGGGGTTTCCCCGCACGGCAACAACCCCTCACGGTTTTTTTTTCTAAAACACGTCACTGGTAGGAGAAGACTCCCACTTCCTTATAAGGAAGAGAAGACTCCCTAGCCTCACCGATGTGGGATGCTCCTGCATTGCTACAGGAGCG